TCTCCCCACAACCCCGCCAGCATTTGTTATTGTGTGACTTCTTGATAGCAGCCATTCTTTGTGGGGTGAGGTGGAATCTCAGTGTTGTTTTCATCTGCATCTCTCGAATGACCAGTGATGTGGAACATTTTTTCAAATATTTTCTTGCTGCTTTTACTTCTTTGTCTGAGAAACGTCTGTTCATTTCAGATGCCCATTTTTGAATCAGGTCTTTATATTTGGGGGCACTGATTGTTTTGAGTTCTTTATATATCCTTGATAATAGTCCTTTGTCTGAGGAGCAGCTGGTAAAAATTTTTTCCCACATTGTAGATCGTCTCTTAGTTCTGCTGATGGTTTCTTTTGAAGTACAGAAGCTTTTTAGTAAGATGAGATCCCAGTTGTTGATTCTATCTGCTAGTTCCCGTGCTACTGAGGATTTGTTCATAAAGTCTTTTCCTCTACCAATGTCTTCCAGAGTTTAAGGCAATGTAACTTTTAATGTAATAAATTTTTTAAAACTTCAATATTCCCCAGATTTTCTGAGTGCACCTCGTACAACATCTGGAAATCATACTGGAATTATGTAATTTACTTGGAATATTTTACTTTAGCTATGCTGGGGTAAAGTTTTATGGCCTTCCCCAGTGAATCATCTCATTGAGTTTAGAACGAAGTTTATGGCATCTTTTTTCTTTTATTGATTTTATTGGTACATTTTAGGTATACAGTACAATTACATTAATCATTCGGATCTTGTATCTTACATGACAGGTCTTGGTTCTTAGTTTTTTCCTCTTGTCTGTGCCCTCCCTTCACCCCCTCCTTCCCTCCCCATTTACAAATACTTTATTTTCATTTTTTCATTTTCTCATATTTTTTTCTTCTCCCTTATTACCTTTCCCCTACCTTTCCATTTTCCCTATACCTTTAGCCCTTTTCTTCCTATTTCACATGTTCAATTATCTCATTAGGATCTTATGTACTATTATAGTTTTTCACATCAGAGAAACTATTCAGTATTTAAACATGTGTGACTTGTTTATTTCACTTAGTATATCCTCAATATGTATACATTTTCCTATGAATGAATCTAATTTCTCATTTTTTATGGCTGAGTAGTATTCCATTTTATAGAAAAACCACATCTTCTTTATCCAGTTTCCAACTGATGGGCAAATGGGCCGTTTCCAAGTTTTAGCTATTACAAACTGTGCCACTATAAACATTGGTGCGCATGTGTCACTATGGCATTTTTAAAAACACACAAATGTATTGCATAGGCACAAGTTTGCCAATACTACTAGAACTTGATAATTATTGACATTTAAAATGACTATATCTCTCTTATAAGTTAACATTAATTATTTCAATATGTGACCCTACCAGAGTGTGATGGCGCATGCATCTAATACCAGTGCTCTGGGAGGCTGAGTCAGGAGGATCATAAATTCAAACCTAGTATGGCTAACTCAGGAAGTTAGCGAGACCCTAACATAAAATACCAAAATAAAAAGGCTGGCCACATAGTTCAGTGTGAAGGCCTTGGAGTCCAATTCCCAGTACCAACCACACACACACACACACACACACACACACACACACACAAAGACAATCAAACAATCTTTCTTTAGAGGTCAGAAATCATGGCATCTGAAAACTAGGAGCTCCAGAGTATGCATTATATATTTAAAATTAATCCATAATCATCCTATTTTGTCACAGATGGAAAGTGGAGGGCAATCCAGAAAAGAATTAAATTCACTTAGCTTTTGAAGAAAAAGAATGCTGGGAGTGTTGCACTGGTTACTATCTATAAATCCAAATTCCTTCTTTGAAGGAAGAAGCAATAAATGAACTCATAAGATATCTCACAGCATATAAATTAATTTATTTATCAACAAGAATAAAAAGTTAAGAGTTAATATCAATGATACTTTTATTATCTTACAGATTCTACCATTCAGTAGCCATTTAGCAAGTTACCTATTCCATTCCAGGCAACATGCCTGTCCTCTATCATAAAGAACAGGAAGACCTGGCCTCCAGCCCCAGAGTTCAGACATGTGCTACACTATAAATGGATTAAGAGTCCTTGAGGATCAGAATAGAGAGGGAAACCAGAGGCCACCTAGAAAAACCACAAGTCAAGAAGGTGGGGGCTCATCAGGACACACTGTTGGGCAGGTTTAGAATACCCAAGGGTTGGAGGACATGCATTGCAGGGGTGGTGTTGGGCCATATCTCATAAACACACATTTTAGCCTTTCTCATGGCCACTAACTGGCCACCAAGAACCTGAGAACTCTGACAAGAGATATCACTACTGAAAAAGACAATCATGCAAAACAGGACATTTTTTTCAGTTCAGGTAATAAAAGAAAGCTAGAGGTCATTGGCTGAGAAGACTACCAGTGGCCCATCAGCAGCAGAACAATAGATGTCACAGAATAGAGACAAAGTCATGGACTAAGAAGATGAGGGCAGAAGGACTCCTGAGCTATGAGTAGTTTGGGCTCTGGCTGTGTGAGAACAGCATCCTCATCACATTCAGGAACTCCTAGGGGGAATGTCTGAAAAAGAATTCTACATAAAAGCACAAACTTGTTGTTCCAGATCATTAAACAAATAGAATCTGCAAGTAGTAAGAAGTGGCATGCTGGCCTAAATGATTGACACTGACACCGATGCTGAAGCCTGGGACAGTTCCCTTCCATGAAAGATGCTCAGTAATTATTCAATGCAAAGCTAAAAGAGCATAAGACACTTTAGGGTAGGCTGAGTTTGAGAAACAAGCTATAATGAGGAGGGGTGAGTAGGTAGATAGATACTGGGCACTCGGTCAGACCAGATATATGGAATCAAAATTATATGGGCCTCATTTTTAAAAGTATTTTTAAAATTTACAAAGTTCATGGAGACAGAATAAACCTGATGGGCCCATACACATCATTTTCTCTATGTTTGCACTAATTTAAGCTGTTGGTGCCCTTAAGGGACAAACTTACTGCCAAATAGGAAAAGATTCAATATTCTCCCTTCTAGTCTCAAAAAAGATGCTGCCCTTGAACATTTCTGACCAGCAGAGGTCAGAGGAGTGCAAAGAACTCAACACCAGTTCCTGGTAAAATCTTGGCAAACTAAGTAATTTGGGCAACTCTTAACTATTCTGTCTCCTAGATTGTGATCTCTAACCTTCATTTTTTTCCCTCATTTTACCTCCACTTAGTACTGTAAACAAGGTGAGTGCTTCAAAATTTTTTATGATTGTAAATTAGTCTCCTAGAATGAAAAGTCATGAAAGCAAGGATTTTGTCTTCTCAGTGTTACAGCTCTAACACTTAGCTTCCAGCATTTAGCAAATGTTCAATAAGTACTTGTTGAACAAATTAATCTTAGAAAACAGATTTTTTTTTATTTCTGAGCTGAGGGAGGTATGAATAATGACACTAAGTAATAAAAACTACCATTCATTTATTGAACATCTTATTTGCCACCATACCAAACGAACGTATTCATGCTTTATCTGTTAATCCTCCAAGTTGTCTTATGAGATAGAAACTATAATTTCTATTTTCTATATGAGAAAATTATATCTTATTTGCCACCATACCAAACGAACGTATTCATGCTTTATCTCAGTTAATCCTCCAAGTTGTCTTATGAGATAGAAACTATAATTTCTATTTTCTATATGAGAAAATTCAAGTTCAGAAGGCTTAAGTAACTGATGACAATCTTAATGTGTGTGGCAGATCCCAGACTGAAGTCTGTTTGTCTGAATCCAAGCCTGTTTTTTCACCAAAAACATGCCATCACCATATCTAAGAGGAAAAGCTTCTCCTGTAACTGAGGAGCCTCTTTAGGGCCCCCTTCATGTCTTTGTTCCTTAGGCTGTAGATAAAGGGATTCAACATGGGAGTCACCACCGTGTACATGGCAGCGCGGCTGCAATGTCCTTCTCTTCTGAGGAAACAGAGGGAGAGCACAGGTAGACACTGAAGAGAGTCCCATAGAAAACACAGACAACACAGAGATGGGAGCTGCAGGTGGAAAAGGCCTTGTTTCCCCCACCAGGGGCTCGGACCCTCAGGATGGCAGATACAATGCGGATGTAAGAGATGGCAATGCAAACAAAGGGAACTATGAGGACTGTGCCTCCTAAGGCAATAACTGTCCACTCATTGACGTGGGCGTCAGAACATGACAGTTTCAGGACAGGAGTTAGGTCACAGAAGAAGTGAGCTATCTCCCCAGCCACACAGAAGGACAGCTGAGCCATGAGGAGGGTGTGCGTCAGGGCAACTACGTTGGTAAGGACCCAGCACAAGGCAAGCAGCAGGATGCAGACTCGAGGGCTCATGATTGCAGAGTAGTGGAGGGGATGGCAAATAGCCACATAGCGGTCATATGCCATGACAGCCAGGAAGAAGCTGTCCAGATCACCAAACATCAGAAAGAAATACATTTGTGTGAGGCAACCCGTGTAGGAGATGGTGTGGTGCTTGGTCTGTACATTCACCAGCATCTTGGTAACCGTAGAAGATATTAAACCCATATCAACAAAGGACAGGTTGGCTAAAAAGAAGTACATGGGGGTGTGTAGGTGTGGATCAGAGCCAATGGCCAAGATGATGAGCACATTTCCAGCCACAGTGATGAGATACATACACAGGAAAATTCCAAAGAGTAACTGCTGTTGGCCTGGAAACTCGGATATTCCTCGGAGGAAAAACTCAGAGATCCTGGATTGATTTTCCATGACTCTGCAGCATCCAGAGCCTAGAGGAGACAGGTAGAATGCTGGATTTAGTCTAAACCTGCATGGGTTGACTCCCAAATCTTCGTTTAAATTTATTATTAAAACAATCCTGACTTTACCTGCAACCTGACCCTACTCCCTTTCTTTGTCTTCTTCCAAAGAATCTCATATTTTTTCCTTTCCTCCCTGTTTCCTCAATTCAACCTTTAATACAGAGAGTGCTTTTACAGTAATATCCTTGGCATATTGAATATGGATACTACCATGGCTTAGACTAGGACGACAGCTTCATAACAGGTCACCTGCTGCAGGAGGATGCATACAGGAATGGACTGAGTCAACCCTTTTGAGAGATGGTTCCAAAACACATACAATTTTTCCTTTTAAAAAACCATGATGACAACTTCCTGTGAGAGTGAAAGGCAGGAAGGACGTCTCTGTATTTTCTCATCATTTCTACCAAAATAAAAGTATGACACCCTGCATTTGAGCCTATATGTCAGGTACTGCATTAAACACATAGACAAATTGTCTCTTTTAATCCTTAAACAACACTGGGATACAGAGAATATTCTACTTACATGTAACAAAGCTGAGGACAGGGATGTTTGGGTAGTTTTCGCAAGGACCCACCATTCATGAATGTTTGAGACAGAATTCAAATCCGTAGCATTGGGCTCCAGATACTATACCAATTTCTACCATGGCATTTGTATTTTTTTCCTCATTGAGTTTATTGGTACATTTTAGGTAAACAGTACAGTTACATTCATCATTGGGATCTTGAACCTTTACATTACAGGTCTTGGTTCTCATTTTTTCCCCTTACCCCTGTCCTCCCTTCAACCCCTTCTCCCTTCCCTATTTACAAAAATTTTATTTCCATTTTTTCATATTCTCATATTTTTTTCTTTTCCCTTATTTCCTTTCCCCTGTCCTTCCCATTTCCCCTACACCTTTAGCCCTTTTCTTCCTATTTGACATTGTCAATTATACCATTAGGATCTCATGTACAATTTTAGTTTTTCACACCATAGAAACTATTTGGTATTTACACATGTGACTTATTTATTTCGCTTTAGGAGTATATTCTCAATATGCATCCATTTTCCTATGAATGGCTCTAATTTTTTATTCTTTATGGCTGAGTATTCCACTTTATAAAAAACCCACATCATCTTTATCCAGTCTCCAACTGATGGACAATTGGGCTGTTTCCAAATTTTAGCTATTACAAACTGTGCCGCTATAAGCATGGGTGTGCACATATCACTGTGATATGATTCTTTTAATTCTTTTGGAAAGTTATCCAGCAGAGGGATGGCTTTGCATTTGTATTTTAATCCCTCAGAACTCCTACTTTAACATCATCAGTGTCATTTGTCATTACTATATTTATCTTTTATAGAAGAACAATGAAGCTCAAGAACTAGATAGAACCTAAAAGATCATGCAGTCCAGAGATTCTCAGGCACTGGTCTGTAGATCAATCAAGTGAGATTCTTGTTTAAAAATACAGAATACTGGACCAGAGCTTTAGCTCATTGGTGGGGCACCTGCCTGGCAAGTCCAGTGTCTTACATTTGATTCCTGGTACTGGAAAATAAAATACAGAATCCTGTTCCCAACCTCAGAAATACTGAATTAAAATTCTCTGGACTATAGTATGGGGACTTGTATTTGAAAACAAAAACTAAAATGAAATCATCCTTTAGTATTTTGATGTTCAACTCAGATTAAGAAATATATATTCACCCTAACCTTTCCCTTTGATTCACAATTCATAGGCTGAGGTTCAAATGACTGAAGTAATGAACAAAGTTTCACTATGGAGGAAAATGTGGTCTAAAAACTTGGGTATTAGGCTCCCAAACTACTGCTCTGTTCATTAAGGTGGCTGTCTTTCTAGTTTTCATTACTCAGAGTAAGGCTAAGGAAAATTTCTCTCCAAGCTGATGGATTTACCAAGGAATTGTTCATATTTTGAAGCTAATAATTCAAACTTTAAAAAGAGGACTAGGTAAGAAAATTATATATTTATCTATCCCTGAATCCCATACTAACTACATTAAGTGACATATCTCACATTTGTACAAACTTCTTCTGAGAGATCAGAAAGAGTCACAAACCAAGTTATTTTCATCCAGGTTACTTTCTCACCTAATCTATGTCACAATGGGGAATCTTTTTTTTTTCTGACTTGTGTGTCAATAAACATTTTTTAAATAGTTAATTTTCTATTAATCTTATTGGCACAATTTAAATATATGTAGTGATCACATTTATCATAGGGAATTTGTACCTGCACACGGTATATCTTATTCCTCTTTTTTTCCAGAAAAAAGGGAAAGAAAAGGGTCCCCTCCTTTCAACCCCTCTTCCCTTCCTTTTTTATAAAAGCTTTGTTTCCATTTTTTCTTCTTTCCTCCATTTCCCCCCTTCATTCTTTTTCCCTCTCCCTGCCTAGTGGGGAATCTGATGCCTCACAAAGCTTAGACTGCTGACTTAGCACATTTTAATAACCATGTCCTGTAGGCAAGAGATGATCTTAAGACCTAAAAGCTTGTGCATCTCCTCAATAGGAGGGGTGTTCAGGCCAGCAGACAACCCTGTGCCTACCTCACATCCATGTCCTGACTTTAGCAACAAAGTCCATTAAATTTCCGTTAGGGTTTCCAAAGAGACAGTATATTATGTTAAGGAAGAGCAACACCTCTTTCACCAAGTATGTCAGCCTGTAATGCCTTGATCAGGCTTTTCCTATGGAGCGTTTTCAGTCTATGACATAAATCAGTTAATGGGGGGGAGGAAGAGAAAGAGGAGGAGGAGGAGAAGGAGGATGAAGAAGAGGAGGAGGAGAACCAAGGGAGGACAGGAGGGCAAGAAGAAGGAGGAGGAAGAGAGAGTGACAAAGGGAAGGAAGAAAGAAGTAAAGAGAAAGGAAGAGAAAAGAGAAGGGTAGGGAAAGAATGCAAGGAGTTAAGGAGGAAGAAAGGAAGAAAAAAAGAGTAAAGAGAGTGAGATGAGGGAGGAGGGAAGAAAAGCAAACGTAGATTCTAAGCTCTCCATTCTAGCCATAAAGAAGAGTAAAGTTGAGTCATTTGTAGAAATGCAGATGGATTTTGACATCATAATGCAAAGTAAAATAAATCAGATGGAGAAGATGAAATATCACCATTTATCTAATATAAGAAAATCCAAACATAAAGAGCAAAATAACAGAGAGTAGGAAAGTGAGAGGTAGATTCTGTGGATATGGGAGGGGAATCTATGGAAGGGGAGAGACGGGAGTACAGGGGAAAAGGAGGAGTAAATGTGATCAAGATGACAGATGTTTGTGCACCAATAACCCAAGTTAAATGTCATTATTGTGTATTTCAAACATATACTAATTTCATAAATTTTACCTTTTATCCTTTTGTTCCTCTACTCATTTTGTGGTAGTATCTTTTGCTCTGTATTTTTTTTCCCTTCTTTGAAAACATTTCTTATCCATCATCCTATCTGTGCTCCCAGATATCACTATGGATCTCTGAGGCAACAATAAGGTGCTTCCCAAAACTTGGGGCAACCTCTCCCTCTGTCACCCAAAGTGATAAAGCCCCATTACTTACCTCCAGTGCCTTTTCGTCTGCTATGTCACTCAACAGGTTGGCTTGAACGTGCTAAAAAGAATACTCAAAATATACAACCTATGAGCCTGCAACTGTTTGACTCAAGGTTTTTTGTTTTTTTGTTTGTTTGTTTTTGCTTTCTACCACCTTACGTACTGAAAAGGAATTGCAAGAAAGGGCTCAGATTCTTCCTGTGATGCAATTAACTAGAATTAGAATTCAAGATCAAGAATAATATAAATAGCAATCAACCCCAAAGCAAAACTCACATTGCTAAACAAAAATGACAAGCATAGTTTAGAGAGGACGAAGACAGAGCAAGAAACAGACAAAAAGTCCAGATGAGGAACTCTGAAAATTAACAAGGACTGCAAAGACAAGACAAGGCCATATCTGAAGGAGAGGCTGCTACTGTCAGTCAGGAACATCAGCTGGCCTAGCAAAGACCATATAGGAGGGGACTTTCTGTACCAAACATTGGAGAAAACCTGGGACATGTGGTACTCTGAACCCACATAACCCCGGTTTGCAGGAATTTGAAAGTGCTTCATGTTTATATTTTGAAGCCTGAACTGATAGAAATAGGGAGCTGCCTCTTCATCAGACTAATACCAGGAGGAGGAAGAGGGTAAGCAGCCTCCTCTTTGGGCCTCACCAGACAGAGAGCCATGGGACTCCATCCTCTAGAGCCTTGTTAGTGGAAACACTCATCACTTCTTGATGGCCCTCAATATTATGTTTGCTAGTATCTTATTAAGGAGTTTTGTGTCTATATTCATTAAGCAGACTGGTGTACAGTTCTCTTTTTTAGTTGGGTCTTTCCCTGGTTTGGGAATCAAAGTAATACTTGCTTCTAGGAATGAATTTGGAAGTATTGCTTCCCTTTCAATTTCATTTAAAAATTTAAAGAGTAGTGGCAGTAGTTCTTCTCTAAATGTCTTGTAAAACTCAGCAGTGAATCCATCAGGACCTGGGCTTTTATTTGTTGGTAAATTTTAATTACATTTTCAACTTCACTGATTGTAAGTGGGATGTTTAGAATTTTTTTATCTTCTTGCTTCAACTTTCGCAATTCATAAGTATCTAGAAATCTGTCCATTCCTTCTGTGTTTTCCATTTTGTTAGATTACAGGTTCTCAAAATAGGTATTGACGATCCTCTGGATTTCTATTGTATCTGTTGTGACATCACCTTTTTTGTTCTTAATTGAATGAATCTGAGCCTTTTTTTTTTTTGACAAGGTGAGCTAAGAGTTTACTGATTTTATTTATTCTTTCAAAAAACAAACTCTTCATTTATTTTTTGTATCATTTTCTTAGTTTCCATTTCCTTGATTTCTGCTCTTATCTTTACAATTTCCTCTCTTGTATGACCTTTCGGTTTTTC